TCCTGAATGATCTGTTTTGCATACAGATTGAAAGGTATGGGGACAGGATACATCCCTGACATACTCCTTTCCTGATTTTTAATCATTCAGTGTTTCCTTGCTCTGTTCTGAAGACTGCTTCCTGTTCCAAGTATAGGTTTCGCATAAGCACAGTCAAATGTTCTGGGGTTCTCATTTTCCTCAAGGTTAGTCACAGTTTGTTGTGATCCACACAGTCAAATACCTTTGCATAGTCAATAGAACACACATAGACATTCTTCTGGTACTCTCTGCTTTCTGCCAGAATCCATCTGACTTTGGCAATAATGTCTCTAGTGCCACGACCTCTTCTAAACACAGCTTGTATTTCTGGCAGTTTTCTGTTAATGTTCTGTTCTAGTCATTTCTGGATGACCTAAATTAAGAAACGACAATAACAACAAAACAATAAACACAAAAAACCTCCCAAACCTAGAGCCATTAAGTTAATTCTGATTCACAGTGACATACTTACCTCCCCAAAACCAGGTTCCAAAGCAGTAAATCTTCATGGGAGGTGACTGCTCTTCTTGTCTCTCTTGGAACTGATGATGAATTTGAACCACCAGAGACATAGCCTTTTGCTTAACAGTAGAACATGCTATGGACATTTTACTACCAGAACTTTGTGTGACATTAATCTCATTTTTACTTTGATAACCTAAGTAATTTTTTCAAAGTCAAACAGATAATGACTAAGATAAGCCAAGAATTCAAAGTCAGATTATTAATTTCCCATCATCTTTGATAATATTTTTATTTAAATTGTTATCCTTGAGATCTTTGTTACTTCATAGCTTGATCCCTCAATAACACCACCCGGTATGTTTCAGTTTCACCTTTCCTTACCTCTAGATTTTTTATGTTTTACTAATCTGTCTCTTTTTTTTACTACCAACAAGTTTTCTTTGTTTATCATTCCATTTATCCATTCAAAAAGCTTCCCATCCTTTACTAAATGTAATACCGGCCATGCTTTTTTTCCATTCCTTTTGTAATATTAGTTTATGCTCTTTCCTCTTTGCCCTCCATGCTCCAGAGCTCTGATTTGGACCTTGACCCACAGGAGTACCCAGAATATGCTGTATGGACTAGGGAAGTTAGTGAGGATACATATAACCTATTTGCCTTATTAATGCCTCGCAAAGTATTTAGGTTAAAAACCCCCACCATAGTGGAATGTATTGAGAAGTTATGGTACATTCACACAATGGAATACAATGAAGCATGCAAAAGCAATGATTTTGAAAATCACTACCTAACTTGGGAGGGACTGGAGAACATTATGCTAAATGAACTAACTCAACCCCATAAGGACAAATACTGCAGTAAGACCATTATTGTAGAAATAGATAATTAGTAAAACGTGTATGAGGGTTCAAGGAGAGGAGGGGAGGAGCAGAGGAGTAAGGATTGGCAGAAGGGCATAATCATAGGGTTGCACAATTTGATAGGTTGAGGGAGGGGTGGAAAAAGAAAATGGGAAAGATCTGGTATGAAAAACATGAACATGTACATGAACGTTGTAAATACACCAGGATAAAATAAAAATTTTATTTATTAAAAATAAAGTTAATATTACTAATTAATAAAATAAAGTTAATATTATCAGCATTTTATAGATAAGGAATCATCAGAAAGATGTAGAAAGATGATGCACTAAGCCTAAAATAAACTTTTCTCCTCTGAACATTTAATGCATTATAATTCTCATTGGACTGCTTTCATATGTTGCTGTTTAGATACCCATACATCATGATACTTCGAAATCAGTTTGTGTGCATCACAGAAGCAGACATGTCCTTCTCCACATCTTTTTAACACCTATTTTTTAATTATTATTAATTTTTATTAGTTTTAATGAACATTTACAGAGATTTTGGGTTTTCATTCATTCATTGTTGCACTGTTTTCTCTACCCTCCTCCCCAGTTCATTCTTCTCCCCCCCCCGAATGTGTTTTAATTGTCCAGTTGCCACAGTGCTTGTCAAAGCCAGTTCTGATTACTCTCTTTTGTCAATGTGTCCTTTGCCATTCCCTATCACTCCCCCCTGAGAGAGACTTCACCCTGATTCATATGGAAAAGGGGATGGCGTATTCTCTTAGCTACTTCCTGCTGAAAAGGGATGCTGTGGGTTTCAGGGTGAAGATCTTCTCTCACTACTCTAAAGGGCCCCTTTGGCAGTAGGAAACACATAGACTATTATGGAGATTGATTTTGGAATTTAGATGCACTATTATCAATTGTGCTTAGCCGTACATGTTCATATCCTTGAAGATGTATCATCGAAGTGTTGCAGCCGAGAAGACACAAGTTTAACTAACATGAGTCAATAATATTCCGATAGAGGTTCTAATAGTGGCACAAATCAAGTTACAGAGGGAAGGTGGTTCTTACAATAAAAGGCCTATAGACTAGCACTTTGTCTGTTATAGTGTAGAGGTTAGGAACCACAAGATGTAGAGGTGCAGCTATGTCATTTATGGTTCTTAAGTCCTGGAGCAAATTCCATCTACCACTGGGTTGGTTGTTTTACAACTTGGAAGTTTGCATGCAAGGTAGAGGTGAAGTAAGGAACTGCTTATGAGGTTTTCCGTCCATTCCAACAACTAGGAAATAGTGAGAAGAGTTGGGACCTCAGAAGGCTTTTAGGACCAATTAGTAGGCTCTGTGTCCAGGAGAAAATGAATATACTTACCAGTAATGTTAATGCTCACCCACAGCTCTTCTGGAAGGGTAAATCGTTGAAGTGTCCTCCTTTATTTCCAGCTGTGAGCTGGGGCCTGTCAGTCCTGTCTGCCACGAGGACCTGATGTGGACCACCTTGGCCAAGTGTCCTTCAGAGCCACACTTAAAGCAAGTGAGTGGGAGCTTCCTCTCTACTCCCTTGCCTATCTGTGGCTCTCGTCTGTGACACTGTCTACTGAAGTGGCCCAGCTTTCCACAGTGGAAGCAATTCTGACCTCCTTTATTACCTTTGGGTGGCACTGTTTATGAGTAAGACTTTCTTTTCCTGACACAGGCCCTAATCTGGCAGCAATAGCTGCCCAAATAATTTTGGCCATTCTCTGGTCTTTTCTCTTCCCTCTAGATCCCAGTTGTTAAAAGAGGGAAAAATTTAAGCAAATGTATGACAAATAATTTTGAACATTATAATCTTTTAAGCTTACGGCTAGAAGTATTAACAATTTCATCATTTCCAATCCAGAGACACATGTTCCAATGCAGTACCTATTTTCCATAAATGGTTTTGGTAAGAGGAATGTTGTAAATGTGGATACATTTCTACTATTCCTCCTCAACACCTATTTCTATGATTTTATATACAAATTTAAAATTAAATTAGATTTTTCAAAGCCACTTGATTTTACTTTGCCACTTAATATACCTTAGATGCATTTCTATTTTTATCACACATAGTTGGTTTAGGACTATAATGAATAAAACCTCTCTGTTACAGTTTTAATTACTTCTTCTGTGAACTAACACATTATTTATGCCTTATTAAAAACCTGCTATATCAAAATACACAAAACAAAGTTAATCATAAGGTTGTATTATATAACTTGTGGAAAATATGGGCAGGTTAGAATGCAAGCTATGGTAATCCAACTTTTTCAGAGAAATGTATCATCCTTTTCAAAGTCACAAAGCGGGAAGCAAGATTAAAACATAAGCCTATGTCCTCTTAATTTCATTTCCCTTAGCATTATTTTTATACTGTTAATTTTATATATCAGTAACTGGCTTGTATCTTATTAAATTGCAGTCCTTCAACACATTCAACTTCTTGATGTCTGTGACTTTCCCACATTGACAGTAAGACCCTAGCAAGAGCAAAAATCTTCTAATGAGTTATTCGTTTATGTATTGCTGAGGTCACCTTTTCTCAAAGTCAGAATTACCTATGGTCTTTATAGGAGCTCTGGTGGCTTAGTGATAAGGAATTACACTGCCAATGCAAAAGTATGTGGCTCAAATCCACCAGCTGCTGCATAGGACAAAGATGGACAGTCTCCTCTCATGTAATTTACTGCCTCTGAAAACTCACTGGAAAGGGTCAGCTATGGGTCAGTTCTGACTCAACACTGCACAATAACAATGGTCTTTATAAACTCAAGATAAATTGTGTTCCCTTTCTGTCTCCATAAGGAGCCTTATAAGTGATGCTGTGATTGAGCCTCAGCTGCTAACAGAAGAGTTGGCAGTTAAACCCACCACAGGAGAAAGATTTAGCATTCAGCTTCCATAAAGCTCCCAGCCTTCGAAGCTATGAGACAGTGCCGCTTGGCCCTAGAAGGCTGCTGTGCGTCAGAACACACTCTATTGCAATAGGTTTATGTTTGAGTTTCTTTTGTATCTGATTAAGTAAATAATGGAGGAAGCTTGATTAATCCTAAATGGCTCAATTGTGACAAAAACATAAGGGTTTATTGACAGTATTTTATATGTCCTCTTTGGTGGCTAATTGAATTTCTAAGAATACATTAAATGTTTATCCAGGTGTTATAGAATGAACAGATTGCACACTTTACCCATGTTACTGGCTTTTGCTCAGATCTTATTTTCTTTACTAATCATTTAAAATATTTAAAATCAGTATCTACTAATTTCAGTGATTTGAACTAACTTCTCTAGTGAACTGTAGGTTATTAGGAACTAAGTATTTTCACCTACTACATTTATCAGGTTGAGAAAAACCTCTAACCACTCAGATCTCTTTTTAGACCATGTCTTAACTAAAATAATAGTTGACCTTCCTAAGGCTAATTTAAAATGCTCTATTAGCTATTTAATTTTCCATTTAGAAGTCTAGTTAGTAATTATTATCATACTTGTCCAATTCTTTTGCAACCCATATAAGTTTACAATTATATGGAAAGCATTTTATAATTTTTTAAAAGAAAGCAAATTTACTATTTTTGTTCAAATACACTTATTTATTTCAAATATATCATAAACATTTATCTCTTAATTACAGGTTGTTAAACTGAAGCAGATAGAGCATACTTTGAATGAGAAAAGAATATTACAGGCAGTGAATTTTCCTTTTCTTGTCCGTTTGGAGTATTCTTTTAAGGTAAACTTGAAATAAAATATTTTAATATTTTTTTAAATGTAAATAAGATAATAATCCTGAAGATAGTTTAAAAATATAAAAAGAAATATATTTAGATTTATGTCATTCTCTTGTGCTTAAAAACTTAAGTAACATTTGACAAGGTTTTACTTCCTTCTGGTGAAATTGTTCAAAGTGACTTGTGTAATTCTTCATGAAATGATAGTATCATAAAATCTACTATTTCCATTTATCGGAAACCATGGTAATATTTTATTTAATGATTCTTATACTAATGCAAATGAATACACCCACACACCTTTCTCAGCTTTCTGAGAATAGTTTCTGTCACTATCTCACTTCTTTTACTTAGTAGATCGTGTTATAGTCTTTTCATGTATGTGAAGTGGAATATCTTTAACCTGTTTAAATCTTATAAAACTTAACAAAAAGAAATGTGTTTTTAAATGGCTCTTTTCAGCACGATAGTGCTCTTTAATATTTATGTCCAAGAAATATACTAACCTCTTCCACATGACCTTTTAGGGAGTGCTGGTGGCCTAGTGGTAAAAAACTGCACAGCAGTCCAGAAACCCTGTGGTTCACATCCACTGGCTGCTCCGCAACAGAAGGATGGGCAGTTTCCTTCCTGTGAAAACCTGTTGGAGGGTCAGCTATGGGTCGGTTCCAACTCAATGGTACTCAACAACAGCATGTAACCTTTGAGTCTTTAAGTCAAATGAAGATGTATGTACTTAACATCTGTTGTTGATATGTTGTTGTTAGGTGCCATTGAGTCAACTAGGATTCATAGCGACCCTGTGAACAACAGACCTGAACCTTGACCTGTGCTGTGCTGTCCTCTTCATGTCTGATATACTCAATCCTATTGTTACAGTTGCTGTGTTGATCTATCCTATTGATGGTCAATATTTAATTTTTATATTATTTTTAACTTTGTTGTTTTATATTTTATTATTGCCTCATTGTTTACTTGTTGAAGAATGAAATCTTTCTTGCAAGAGCAAAAATCCTGTACTTGCATATTACATAAATAAATACCCTAAGAAAAGCAAGAGCATTTTCCATTTATTCTATTCCTAGTATTAAGCTGTTTGATGGCTTTTAAGTTTGCTCTTTTCTAATGAAGCATGGTATAATCTTAAAATATTTTTCCAAAAAGTAATCTAGATTGCATAATTTTGTTTGTAATTCTTTTGACTAACTCACAGGATAATTCTAATTTATACATGGTTATGGAGTATGTCCCTGGAGGTGAAATGTTTTCACATCTAAGAAGAATTGGAAGGTTCAGGTAATAAATGCTTTATTTCTCTTTAGATATGTCCCTGTTACTGAGTTTCTTTTAAACTAAATTTCTAAGTTATTGTCATTGCCAAAAAGTATTATCATAGAATTTAGT